GAGAGTTGCTCTTAGAATTTCAAGGAGGTCGTGTAAGGCCACAGGAGAGAAAGTCCTACCTGTTTCTTCCCCAGGTGTGGATTGCTTTTCACCGGCGGTGAGAGGCTTTTCTCTGCGCCACACCTGAGAGATACAATACATGCCTCAGTGGCTCGCGTGTCAGCGTTAGTGGCTTTGTGTATCAGTAACAAGGGGAGATATGGTTTGAAAAAGCTGTGCAGGCTATTCTGATGTCCACTTCCACAGTAGGTGAGGTGTAAGACTCACTGATTTACCTTATTTCTCTCATTCTGAAACTTCATCCCTTGTTAGATGCTTCATGGGCTTACTGGGATCTATACTGGTTACTCCCCATTTGTTGAGTGCCCCACTAGATCCACTCTCTACCCTTCTTTGCCCTTCTCTGTGCCCTGGGAGGCCAACCTTAGTGGATTGCATTGATCAGCAGCCCCTGGCCTTTGGCCAGAGAAGGAGGCAGGTGGTGGTAGAGATGGTCTGGCATTTCTTGCCCCCATGCCTCCCTCCCTTTCAGCACCATATCTCCGGCAGTGGCTCCTTCCCTCTACCTGCTGGATGGCCCCTCTTTCATGGTCCAAGGGCTGGCTTACTAGGCTCCAATAACATGACTGCCTCCTCTTTTCAACTCTAGGGATGGTCATAATTTCCTGCTGTTACTAGGCTCCATGTGCCTCAAGTTCCCTCTTAACTCTACCCATACCTCTATAAGGAGTTTCTCCATTAAAGCCTCATCCTTTGATCCAACTGGGTTAAAGTATATTTCCTGTTGGACCCATGACTGATTCACAGGTCTTTGGACAAATGGGAACACTTCCATATTCAATAGTCATTGATTATAAGATACATCTGGCTTTCAGAAATGTTACAACATCATCAAAAAGTATGGTTTACTATAAAGATATGATGGCAGGTTCATTCAGGCATGATGGATGTAGAGGGTAGTGTACCATTAAGAGATGTAGGCCGGGTGTGGCGGCTCATGCCTGTAATCCTAGCACTTTGGGGGCCAAGGTGGGCTGATCACTTGAGGCCAGGAGTTTGAGACCAGTCTGGCCAACATAGTGAAACCCCATCTCTATAAAAAACACAAAAATTAGCCAGGTGCAGTGGCGCCTGCCAATACTGGGGAGAGTAGGAGAAACACTTGAACTTGGGAGGCATATGTTGCAGTGGGCCAAGATCAGACACTGCACTCTAGCCTGGGGGACAGAGTGAGACTCTGTCTCAAAAATAAAAAAGAAAAAAAGAAAAAGAAAAAGAGATGGAATTTGCTCCTAAACTTACAAGGCCGGAAGCATGGCACACAGCAGAGCACTGGGTTTAAAGTCAGGTGAGATGGCTTTGAACTCAGGCTCTAACACCTACAGGCTGGAACATTTTGAGTAGGCTGTTCTGCCACTCTGCACCTTGGCCTCCTCTCTGGCAATCCAGAGTCACTCTGCTGTCCACATCCCTTTCAGAGATGTCATGTGTTAGTACAAGTGAGGTCACGCGTGTGAAAGGGCTTCGTCAACTATCCCGTGCTGAAATGCGTGGGCCTGTGCAGCTCAGAGGGGGCTTCGTCAACTATCCCGTGCTGAAATGCGTGGGCCAGTGCAGCTCAGAGTGGGCTGCCGTTCTGGGATTCCTCATCTCTCAGGCACCAAACACTGGCCAGGATGAATAAACAAGGAGACCGTCAAAAGTGGGGCAGGGAGGTCTCAGGGACCCAGAGAGGGAACGGGAAGACAGCCCACCTACCCTTTTCTTCCTACTCCAGCTTCCCTCTTCCCCTTCCCTTCCCTCACTTGACATGGCCTCTTCCCTAAGCTGAGGGATGGTGCTGGGGCTGTTTTATTTATTCAGTGGAGAACTAAGGAGCACCTCTAAGTGCAGCATAAAGCCATGCACTGGACAAAGACCATGCCTTCCAAGACCAGTAAGAGAGAAACAAAGAGGAGGCAGGACATGCCCTGTCCTGGGTAAGAGGAAGAGCCTGGTGTCAGAGAATCTCAGCTGCATTCCTCATCCATCACTAACTCACTAACCAGTTCTCCGGGACAAGTTATTCAATCTCACTGTCTTCATCTGCAACCAGAGAATAATACCCGCCTGCAGCGTTTGGTGTGAGGATTCCATGGAACAAGCCCTGTGTTCAGCATGGTGCCTGGTTCTGATTTTAGCACTCAGCAAAGGGTCACCTCTATTCTTAGCATTCCAGGGAGCCAGAGGACCTTTCTAACTGGATGACTCTGAAATGATTTCCCAAGGAGAGGGCACTGAACTAGGCTTGGAGGCTGAATTCTCGGTTTGGCCGGCGCAGTTTGCCGAGGCACTCGCTGAACCGGGGGGAGGAGGTCAGTCCCACCGCAGGACCAGGGCACAGCGCTGTGTGTTCGGCGCTGGGACGACTGAAAGGGGGTGAGCGGGCTCCGGAACGCAGGCCTCCCGGCGGGCAGAGGGAGCCAGCACGAGTTCTGGAGCAGAAGAGGGCCAGGATCAAAGCGCTCGGAGGCAGGCCAGGGCGCACCAAAGGGAGGCTAGTGAGTTGCATCAGCACAGATTCCGTGATGCTCTGCAGACGTCTCCAGGCTGCTGGGCTTTACGGGAACCCACAAGAAAGGAAAGGACCGGGGAGCTGGCAGGGCGGGGGCGGGCAAGGGCGCGAGGGTGCGCTCGCCCGCGCGCTCCCGGCGGCGCCTGGCCCCGGCTGGGCGCGCCCGGGACTAAGGAGGCCGCGGAGGAAGCTCCCGCTTCCCTTCCCCCTCCTCTTTTCCCCCCGCGTTACTGGAAGGACTGTGTGGGAGAGACCCAGAAGCACCCGGATTTTCGAGCGCAAGGTGGGGGAGGGCGGGGCAGCCTTTACTGCTCAAAGGAAAACCAAAAGTGCGTCTGTTCGCGCCGTTCAGACACGCGGTTGCTACTGGGAGGGCCCAGAGCGCTTTGGCCGCGCCTCTCTTTGCAGCCCCCCAAGACTTGGCTAGGGCAGCCTGAGGCCCGCGTGGCCCGGGGAGGCGCTGAGAAGCGAGTGGGAAAGTGTCACGATTTCTTCTGCGCCCCTCCCGTCCTCACCCCACCCCCAGTTTTCTGGGTTTCGCTGCTGCCGCTGGGGAAGGGCTGATTCGTTTTGCGTCAAAGGACTGCATTTACTCAGTCCTGCTGGGAGAGGCGCGTAAACACCCAGGCAGGCCAGGACTCAAGGATGGGGTGGGGGAGCAAATCACCCACGGCTGGCGTGCGCGTTCGCCTGCCCCACACCCGTCCCCTGGGCCCGCGGAGTTGGGGACTCTGCCCAGCGGGCAGCAGCGGAGGTGCGAGGAGTCTGGCTGGCCTAGCTTCGTCGCGCACGCGCGCGTGTCCTTGGGGATAGTGTTCAGGACAGAATGTGTTTTATAGCTGTAAACAATGACCCCGAGTATTGTTTGGGATTACCGTATCTTGGGGCCCTTGGGGCGGCCAGATGCCGCCAGCAGTCCCGGAAATGCCAGCGCTTTATATAGAGCCCCAGGAAAGCTTCGCGTTCCCGGCTCTATTTTTCTTTCCTACCAACACCCCCACTTTACAGATAAGGAAACTGAGGACTGAAATTGTGTGACGGTGCACAGCGAGTTGTCCGCAATGGACTCTCAACAACTCTTAACATTGGGCCCTCATAAGGACCCTGTGGGGTACAGATGCCTGGTGCTACTTAAGAATTGGGTAAACTGAGGCTTACACAGACCCTGGGTGAGAACCTAAGTTCCCTGACTTTTGCTACGGTACTTCTCCATGCGCACAATCATCTCAGCAGAAGGATTGGAGCTCCAGAGCAGAGAAGGGCCTTAGGTCATGTCGCCCAACTCCTTCGCTTTATAGGAGGAAACTGAGGCCCAGAGAGGTTAAGGAATTCGTCCACGATCTCACAGCTCGTAAACACCGTAGTCGGGCGTTCCTGCTCCTAGGTCTGTACTCGGTACCCTGCGCCGCGCCCCTCCCAGTCCCGCCCAGAGAGGGAGGGAGACCCTAGAGTCCGGCTACCCGCGCCCTGAACTTCGCTCCAAAACAGCTGAGGACGACAACGTTGGGGCACACCCTCTCACTGGCAACCTTTTTTTTTTTTTTTTTTTTTTAATTCGTAACAGTCGAGTTTGCTATAAACGCCCGATTACTCTTATTAGATGCGTCCTAGTTGCCCGCGTAGAGGGCGGCCGGAATGTCTTGACTGGTTAATTTCATCTTCAAGGCTACTCCTAACGAATTAACTGTACGACCGAAAAAATGAAAAACAAAAAACAAAAAGGGAAGCAGCAAGCAGCCCGCCACGGAGGGAAAAATAGGCAGGCCAGCCCCGCCCGGCGGCGCCGCGCCCAGCAAAGACCCGGCCGCAGGGCGGCGCGGGCACCCTGCGCGCCCGGGGCGCCCGCTGCGCTCAGCGGCGCCGCGAAGGGCGCCTACGACCGCGCGCGGCCGCGCCCTCCCTGCAAGCGGGCTCTGCGCGCCGCGTTCCCGGCTTCCCGGTGGCGCCGCACCGAGCCGCCCGTCTCGCCGTCAGGGCTGTGATTATTTTCTAAAATCCGGAGCCAAGACCCGCGCGGCCGCTCTCGGGGCCTGCCCCGCGCCCCTTCCCAGGGCGGGGGAGAGGCCGCAGCGCATTAGGGAGCGGGCGAGGGAATCCCTCTCCCTCCACGTCACCCGAAAGCAAGGAAACCCGCACTCGCGTCCTCTAACGCAAATGACCATCTTTGGCAACGTGCGCCAATGGAACAGACCAAGGGCGCTGGGCCCGGGGGGTGAGCGGGGGGCGCGGGAGGGCCGGGGCTGCCTCTGCGCCCCCGAACCGTGCGGGCCGCCAGCTCCAGCCCGGGCCACCGCCTGGCTTACTTGCGCAGACTGCGCGGCTGGCGTCAGCGCGGCCGGGAGCCGGAGCCCGGAGGGGAGCGCTGCGCCGGCCTCCTCCCCTCCCGCGCTTCTTCCTCCTCTCGGCCTCCTCCCACTCCCCCCCCCCGCCCGCCTCCTCCTGCGCTCCTCCCTCAAGGTGGAGTCTGGGGTTGACGTGAGTGAATCCACATGGTACAGGGCTGGAGAATAAAGAGTGTGGAGTTGAACTCGTGCCATTGTAGTGACTCATCTCGGGCAGAGCGCTAGGGCTCGGAGCGAACCAGCGAGCGAGCGAACGAGCGGCGCTCGGCGGGGACCGAAAGAGGGAGAGAGAGGCGCGGCCGGGCCAGGCGGGCCGGTCCGGGAGCGGGCGCCGGAGCGGGGAGCGGGGCCGCGTCCCTCTCAGCGCCAGCTCAGCTTCAACCCCACCGGCGGCTGTTCCCCTGGCGCACTCGGGGCTGCGGGACAGGCGCACGCCGCTTTCTCCTAGTCAAGTGTCCGAGCCGCCCCGAAACTCCGGCGGCGAGTCGGCCACGGGAAGTTTATTCGCCGGCTCCTTTTCTAAAAGGAAGAAACAGAAGTTTCTCCCAGCGGACAGCGTTTCTTTCCGCCTTTCTGACCGTGTCTGAAATCGGGAAGGAGGGGGTCCCTGGGGCTGGCAGGCCAGGCTCGCCGGGCTCCCAGTCTTTTTTAATTTCCAATTTTTGATTGGGCCGTGGGTCCCGGCTGAGCTCCGACTGCGCGCGGGGGCGGGAGGGCGCGTGCAGGGGAGGGACAGAGAGACGCGCCGACTTTTTAGAGGGAGGGACCGGGTGGACAACTGTTCCCGCGGCGCTCGCAGAGCCGGAAAGAAGTGCCGTAAGAGGCGCTCGGGGGACGCAGTTCTCGGGGTGTCGCCGCCTCCCTGTCCTCGCCCGCCGCGGAGGGGGAGAAACCCAAGGAGCGAAGCTCAGAGCCCGCGGCGCGGCCGGCGGACGACCGAGCGCGCAGCAGTTGGTGCGCGGCCGCGGCGAGGGCGGGGGAAGAAAAACACCCTGTTTCCTCTCCGGCCCCCACCGCGGATCATGTACCAGGATTATCCCGGGAACTTTGACACCTCGTCCCGGGGCAGCAGCGGCTCTCCTGCGCACGCCGAGTCCTACCCCAGCGGCGGCGGCGGCCAGCAGGTAGGTGCGGGCCCCGGTGCACCTGGCGGCGCGGGCGGACCCCTGCCCTCCTCTCGCCGCCACTGCCTCTTTTGCTTTCTTTTCCTTTTCTTGGCGAGAAAATACCTACCGGCCACCGTTGTAAGTTCTGGATTTTCGTCCTGCCCTTCCCCCCTGCCCCTTTAAACTAGGGGACGGGTGAGTGGGCTTGAAGAGACAACACCCTCCCCCCCCATTATATTTTACCCAGACAAACTCCTGGAATTGTAGGCCCCCTACCAGGAGGCTGTTACCTCCTTCCAAGAACTACCCTCTCTCCCCACTCCCCCACCCCCCGCGCCTTCTCTCTGGGTAGTGGACAGACAAGAAAATCTTTGCACCCACTGGCACCTCTGGACATCCTGGGACCGTATTCCTTCAGGAAAGCCCTCTTCCTCTCCTCCCCGGTCTCCATCAGTCTTAGCTCCTTTCTGAAAGGGGTTGGGGACCCAGAAACGTGGTTGGACTCCTTCAAGTAACTAGAGTGAGGGTGAGGGCTGCCGCTCTGGGAATCAGGTGCGAAGGTCAGGAAGGAAGAAGCCAGCCTTGATTGGCTCCTGCCGCCTGTGTGCCCGTGCCTGCCCGTCCGCCCGTCTTCTGTAAGGGTCGGGGGCAGGAGCCTGCACTGCCCCCCTCCCCCAGGAACGAAGGAGCACCTTGAGGGTCTGGGGGTACCTGGATCAAGGAGGCCGGCAGAGAGAAGAGGGGGTCGGGTAGGGGAAGAGACATCACGTAGGCTCCTGGGTGGTTCTGGAAGCAGAAAACAACTTGTTTCTAAAGCAGCCGGACTGGTTTGCACTGGAGGGATTGTGCGTGTGATCTGTGTGTTTATAAATACCAGGAAGGTGCTGCTGGGGGTTGGGGGGGGGGAGGGTGCTGATGGCGTGCCTGCCCTCTGCTGCAGCTCCTCCACCCGCTGTGTATCGAGAGAGCTGGGTTAACGCAGACACAATACAACATGAAGCCCACCGTGATCAGCATCTGTGGAGTCTAGCAAAGTTGGCTGCAGCAAGAGATGCTCCCTAAGGCGGTGTGGCCTTGGCCTCTAGAAGGGGCTGGGTGGGCTTCCAGGGAGGGGTGGACTCAGCTGGAAAATATTATGGAACATGGGTCTCTTTTGGATCTGATGAGGGATCCCTTGTTCCAAAGTGATTCCCTGTATCTGGTGAGTCCCCAAAATGGCTTTTCTCTCTTCCCTCTGCCTCCCCTGGTGCTTCTATAAGCACCCACAGTAGACAGCCTAGTCTGTTCATTGAGCACCAAGGTGAGGAGTTTAAAATCTGAAAGTTGTTGATTATGTTTGCTTCCCAGTCCTGTTGGTGGTTTGTAGTCAATGTAAATATTATGAGGCAGGCAATAGGTGGAAGTCTATACCCATTCCCTCCCTCTCCCGGTCCACAAACCCCAAACGCCTGTCTCCTCCTCCCTGAAATCGGGAAGGGATCTTTTGATTTCTTCTCTGTTCTTTTCCCTAACGTGTATTTGGCAGTGATCGTTGGAGTATTGCAATCTTACTGCCTGGCTTAGCATAGACCCTGGAGCCTGGAGGGAAGTCGGACCGGACATCGGTGCCCCAACTGTGTAATCTGTGTCACTAGGGCTTTGAGCTCAGGATCTGAGTGGAGGCAATTCCCTGTTTTGGAAGAAAATCAGACAGGAAACCAGAGCGAGGAAGAAGGAAGAGAACTCAGTCCAGCAGAGTGTAATAGGGCCTCATTACCGAAGCAAAAAGCAGCTGTTGGTTAATTCCTAGCATGCTGTAACACATGAGGATTTTGCAATTAGCAATAACCAATGCATGGGGCTCTCACATAGACGCCTGCCCATTCGGCCCGGCAGTGTGTGAAGCGCCTTTCAAACCAGAGGGATTGGCAAGGTAATGCTGATTTAGACAAGTTTTTTGGCCTGTCTGCTCCTTGGTCTGGTGGTGGTTGGGTGGGGGATGAGGAGGAACAGGGTGGATTTTTCCGTCATCATTCCAACTGTGAACAAAATTGTTCTGTGGTCCTGAGGACTGACCTCAGAGGCTTTTGTCACAAGTCTGTGCTATGACCTTGCCCGATCTTGGGCTCAAGGTAACTTTACTACATACCAGATAAAACATGTAATCACTTTATTTCTCTCAACTTCCTTCACTGGGAGACTTTCGTGACAGTCAGTGGATGGGCCTTTCTCTTTTACGGCATCTCAGTGCACCCATCCATATGAGACGGTTCTCTGGTTTTTCTTTGGGCAAGTGAATTTTGTTTTTTCAGGTCTCTTTTTTGGAGGTCCGATAGTTCTCATCAGTTTGCTGCCAGTTCTTCAACCCAGAGCTTTCCCTTCCCCTCTAGCTCCATGAATCTGGATCTTAACACATGGCCATGAACTCCAGTGACTTTGGGGGGTGGAGGGGAGCAGACGATTCTTTGTTATAGCTTCTGTTCTTATATATGGCAGGAACTTGAGGCATGAAAAATATTTCCTGTTCCAGTTATAGTTTTAGTCTCAAAGGTTGGTCATTGGTAATTTTGTTTTGTCAGTAATCGTTGCACACACCTCCCCCTCTTGGATTTTTCTTTTTGCTTTTTTTCTTTGTTGTTTTCTCTCTCCTAACTTTCCTAGGAAAACATCTCCCAGATATATGCCCTGCCTGGCAGCTTGGCTATTACGGTTTCAGGGCCTGAGCATTACGCAATCCAGCCAGTTACACAAACATAGGTCATTTCATAACTTGTTTTCATCAGCTGGGTCCCCTTTTAATGAAAAAACAAAACAAAAACAAGACCTAGAACTTTTCCAGGGCTGCTATTTGTTTCTCAGATAACTTATGAAAATAAATCAAGGGGAGTATTTCCTTTTTGGAATTAATGATACCAGACTAGCACTTTTCTTCCTCAACCACCCCTTCCCAAGACAGACAGACAGACAGACACACACACACACACACACACACACACACACACACACACACAAAATTCCCCAGAGTGAACTTTTGCCAACTGTACCAGACTGGGACATTCCTCACATCAAAGAACTTTTACCAGAAATGACTGTGATTCCCAAGTCAGCCTCAATTGTACCTCTCTAGTGCCCTCTACGGGAAATTTTTAGGAAAATTATCTTGGGAATGTATTTTTCCAGTCCCAAAGAGTGTTAAATTGGTGAGTTTGGAATTCTTAGGATGCTTTTTCTTTTTAATGAGGGACAAATAACTGCCACATATTGAACCGTGGTTAACTGGGAACCGCTTGGCTTTGAATTCCTTTTTTGTTTTGTTCTAAATAAAACCTGTTTGAAAAAGGAATGCTTTTTTTCTTTTCCTATTTTGATGTCTATCTGTTCATTACGGTGCCTTCACAATTTGTTCTAATTCCCAAGGCTTGTTTTCTTACGTGCTTTTATTAGGAGGGGGTTTGTTCACTTGGTGGGAACGTGGCAGGCACAGATTAAGGGTCTGAGTGCTTTTTTTTTTCCCTTGATCTTACAGATGTTGTAGATTAGGATCAAACAGAATGTTATCCCAAGAATTTGTCTGTTCCGCTGATTCTTGATGGTGGAAGTCAGCTTCACTTTTTCATCAAAGGGAATGGGGTGAAATAGCAGTCATGCATTGTCCGAGTGGCATTTGAATTTTCCTATCCAAAACCCTGAGTGCATTTCCACTACCTTTTTCAGCGTCTTATTATTCAAGGTGAGGGTAAAATTGGGAGACTTTTCTATCTTAATACAAACACAACAGAACTTATTCATCCAAATCACTGTCATCCCCTTCCTGTTTTTTCCTTGAGGAGACAAAGCTTATCTGAATGCTGTGGCTGTGCTCGGACTCAGAAAGGTTTTGCAGTTCCCTCTCTTGCAATTGCTTTCAGCATATTGTTTTGAAAATCCTCCTGCTAATAAATCTTTGTCTTTTGAAGAGTGAAATTGACATTTGGACATTACCAAAAGCCTCTTTGGAATCAAGTGTGACACACAAAGTCTGGGTGATCAGGCTGGGTCCAAAGTAGGGTGTGACCCCACGTCCTGCAGACCTCAGGAGTCTACCTGGGAGAGCATGCCCACAACAAAGGGCACCAAAACAGGCACCTTTGCCGTCAATAACTTGGATTTTTTTTTTCACGTTTGTTAAATAGGAATAAAGATACTAGATGTGAGAATTAAGGAGACGAATGTTCTGGTCTATTCGTTTAAACAAAAGAAAAAAATAGCATCATTACTTTGTGGATATGTCTCATCTGTGTTGTATGTGGCCACAGTATTTCAAAATGACAGCAGCTGCCCTGATTGAGGCAAATATATCTGTTCCAAACCTCATCTGGCAATTCTAACCCTTCTCTGCTCCTTGGGCCAAAGAGGGAAGGTGTAAGATTTTGCCTGACCCACCTGGTCCCTTGGCCCTGTCCCTGTCCCTAGAGACTTTCCTAGACTCACCTTCCTGTGGCTCTTAAGAGAAGATGAGAGGACATGTTCTTTCCATGGAGTGCAGAGCCTCTGAGGAGCTGTGGGGGCTATAAAGGGGCCTGCAGAATCGTGGAGTGACTTCCCCAGTGCTTTGGAGAGGGGCTTCTGGTCAGAAGAGCCCTGGCAGGGAGCTGGGAACCTGGGCGAGGGCTGCCTTCTCTTTCTGTTTCTTTTCTTCCCTGCAGCAGGCAGCCAGGTGTAGAGTAACTCTTTCAAGGGAACCCAGGAAAGCCTGGAGGCTGAAGAGAGGCGAATCATCTGAGAGAGTATTTGTATACTGTAACTAACTCTGGGAAATCATGACATATTAGCAACAGTTTCCACAGTGACATAGTGGCATTTCTTCAGAGAGGAATGAAAGGTCAGAGGTCAAAGTGATGTTCATTGAAGAACCTGTGAAGACTGGTTAAATTCCCTGTAGAAGGCTTCGGGGAACAGCCCAGGTTCAGTAAAAATACAGAGCATTTGTGTTAAACGGGGCCCCGGTGGCGGGGGTGGTGTGTGATGGGAAATATGAGAGCATGTGCCCTTATCCTTTG